TTTTTTTTTTTTTTTTTGTACCGGGGATCAAACTCAGGACCTTAGGCTTGTAAGGCAGCCACTAGAACCACTGGGCTAAATCCGTGGCCCTAGTCTATTTCTTTTGATTGGTGGATTGAAATCATTATCACTAATGGTTATAACTGATATGTATTGACTTATCCTTGTCATGATCTTTTCCTGCTGTTGAATTTTTTTTCCCTTCCTTTGCATGTAATTTCTTGCCTTGCCTGATGGTCTCATTGTTGGGCTTAATGGAGTTATGACCCTCACTGTGTTTTCCTAGGATTCTATTTAGAATTTCCCCCACAGCAAGTTGGGCTCTGGTAGGAGATGTTGACCCCAGCAACTCACCAACCACTGCAGTTTGCTCTGCATTTACTGAAGTAACTCTCTGATCTTCAAATCTCTTCAAGCCTTGGAGAGGCCCTCTCTCTGCTGCTCTCCACTGTGCCAATTCCTGGGCTCAGAAAAATGGTTTTCTGGATCCCTGCACTGTGCTGCTGTCCCCATGGGCCTCTGGCTGGGGACTGCATGCCCTTACTGATGTTGTTCCAGGGGTCTTTGGCTGGGGCCTGAATCACATTCTTAATTCAGTTCTTCTCTAAACTATTAACTACCATTCCAAATTTTTTTTGGTGACTTTTATGGGACACTGACATACGGAACAGGATACATACTCAGAAAATTTAATGAGAAAATATAAATCTATTAATTAGAAACCAGCATCTCCCAGCTCTAAAACATATGCTAATGCAGGATAGGGCAAAAGGCTACTAAAAAAGTTGGCATCAGGACCATATGTGAGATGAATAGGATTATAAGTTTGGGGATAAAACTGAACGGAACTAGAATTCACAGAAAAAGGCCCCCGGAATTAACAGAGAGAGGCCCTGTACACAAGAAATATAAACCTGGAATTTTTTATACTATTTGTGGGAATATAAGTTGGTACAGTATATAAAAATCCTAAAAATTAGGCAAACTTTTGGCTAAACAATTACATATCTTCATAATTTATTTTATAGAAATAATTAAGTCAGTTGCACATTCTTTCAATAATGATGATGATCAAAATGTTCAAGATTTGGGGACTGATGAAATAAGGCATAGTATATTCTATGGGGTAGCATTATGTAGCCTGAAAAATGATAAATAAAAATGTTTCCTGTGTGTTTCTGGGTGGGGAGAAAGATTATTAAACAGTCTACATTCTATGAACATAGTTTTATAATGTACAAAATATAAAATTATTTAAATTATGTTTATAAGAACAGAAGTAAAATATTAAATAATAAATATTAAAATAGCCTTAATAAATAATTTCAGAGTAATAAGATTATTGTTTTCATATTTATTCTTTTAATTTAAATGAATTTTCTTGCTTTTTTTCAATGAACACGAATTATTAGTATTTCAGAACAAGGTGGAACAAACCAAACACAAGCTTTGACTGAATTCAGTAGGTAATAGGACGGTTCTTACTTCTGAACATTCACGACACTTCAGTCTTTCCAAGGACACGGAAGTTGAGAAAATCAGTTTTACTTCGTAAAGGATAAAACTAGTACTCAAGAAGACAGAAAACCAAATTGGACTAAAACTCACAGCCCGCTGGCTGTCACACAATAAAATAACTGGAGAAATTTGGTATATCATACACAAAATCACAGGTTTTCAAGTGCATAATAGGCGATGGGTGTAACGGTTCTACAAGATGGAAGCTGAGGTTTCAGGGAAATGAGGATGGTCTTAGGGGCTTGTGAGGGCCGAGCACTGGTCAGCCCAGAGCCGATTTCGGGGAGACACATTACAGATGGACTGACGAATCACGGTCCTCAGCTGGCCACTTACACGAGTGGTCTGGGAGACAAGGGAGTGTTCTGGACCCTGACGAGGAGAGCAGACAGCAGCAGTGGATGGAGCTGTGCCTATAGAGTGGCGCCGCCTGCCCACTCAGTGGTGTAGGGAAGGTTCTGATGAACTGCGCTTGCATTCTCTACACTGCCACTCCCGACAATCACTGCTGAGCTTATTTGGGTCTTTCGTCACTGTCTTCAGTGCTGATATTCACTTAGATTCTTGCACTGCTTGGGTGGTTGAGGGGAAGGTGTCCTTTTAAGATAAATTGCATTGTAGGAATTAAAGCTTGTTTTGTAAAAGTAGTCTTGGAAAGACCCTGCCTCTGAAGATAAGAAATCACAGACAGCTGATGATATCTTCAGAAGCTGGAAGGAAGCAGAAAATGGAAAGCCATCTTAACATTTCTGCCTCTTTGCCACCTGATCAGGTTTTCTCTCATGACTGCTTGAAACCGGCTTCTTGTTTTATTTGCTCTTGTATTTATTAGAACCTCTCCATTGTCTGTGCTTAGAAAATTTAATTTGCTGATATTATACAATTTATTTTTCTGGATCATTAATTGTCCAGCGCCTAGGAGCCTGAAGAAGTGTTTGTCGTCAATTTCTAATTACAACTGTGTGCTTTCCAGGGGACTCAGAACTAGAGGGGATTACACTGTGGCACCCTGACACTGAAGGTAGGGTGATAAAGTAGAAAGGTTGCAGAGGTCACAACTACTTGGGCTTTGTATCCTTATGAATAAGAGAGGGGAAGAGAGTTCCCTGCTGGGGTCCCCCCTCCACCTACTCAGCAGTGCCTTGTCCTGGGAACAGCTTATGTGTGGCTTGGCTGCATGGCATCAAGGGGCAGATAGAAACAATGACTCATCTTTAAGGAAAGCACATGCTTCACAGGACAGTTTTGAAAACCCCTTCTCAGAGAAGGCTAACTCTAGGATGAAACCAGTCCTTCAATTCATCAGAGTGTGTGGATGGCTATGTGAGACCTTTGAGAGGTCCTAATTAGAAAAGATATTAGTAAGAAGACTTTAGATTCCAAAAGGAAGGGTAGGAAAGGGCAGAGGAAAAAAGAGACTCAGGGATTGAAAAGGTAAATGGAAAAAAGGTGGAAGCTAGGAATTTTTAAGCATGCTTCAAAATTTGCAATAGCAAATGGACCTTGTACTTTATCAATCTTCCATTAATATTCCACCAGAAAATTCTACCCAGTGTCCTTTTCCTTCCTTTTGGAAATATTCCCTCAGACTTGAACACAGAAGCTTGCAACAGTTTTAAGTAAACTCCACTGCAGTAGTTTCATTCTGATCTGGTGGTGTCAGGCAAGTACGAATCTATTCACCTGGCTGAGGTCATGGACTTTATGAACAAGGAAACTGTCTCCCCAGGCACAGAAGCCTCTTCCTTAGGTCTTCAGTCTGTGTCCTCTGCACGCTTAGCCTTCCCTCATCTGAAGGAGATGACTCTTGCCCATATAAGTAAGAAGTGAAATCCTTCATTCAACTACTAGGCTTGTGGCCTACAAGAAGTCAGAACATCTGGCCCACTGGAACAGTTGAGCTATTGGTTGAATCATTTGTTTTTCTTACAGTAAGAAGCGGCAGTACCATGCGGAACAAGCTACGATCTTTGAAGATCAAAGCAAAGGCTATGCTAAAGTGCAGATAGAAAAATATGAATCACAAGGAGGAAGCAATTCTGTATGCCCTAACCTTACCAGAATCTTAAACTGATCCCCAGACCTGGGACACATGGTTAGGCTCCTCTCTGGAGAAGGGTGAAGCCAACTGCGCACATTTATATTTTCAAAGCAGTTACCAACATAATTATTTGAACAATGTTGATTATACCTAGGAAGTCACTGAAGTTTTCAGTACTAGTGGCACTTATTTTATTTAAACATTAAAAAAAAGAAAAAGAAACAAAACAAGGACCTGGAAAGGACACGTAACTCTGTCTAAAGATGTACAAACAAGCACAAAGCTCAAAACTACGGGGATTTGGGCAGCTAATAATGACAGATAAGAGCTTAGGCCTTTCTTTGTCTGTTACTGGACAACAGTATATCCTGAAGACAGTCAGAGCAGAAACACATTTCCTTGGGTTGGGTAAGAGACATGAGCTTGTCTTTAAGACGCTGTCAGCCTTTACAGCTGCTGCTCAGCTCACTAACATCATATCTGATCAGCCGATCTCAGATTCTACTCCAAAGATTAACATTAGATCATATGTAGCAAACATATCTTTGTGGAACTGTGGTCTGTTTCCATTCAGGGGAGGATGTGAATGAAACTCCCTTGGCTTAGGGACCCTGGTTTTAACTACAGTATCAAGGAGGCACCATGTGTCAGTCTATGCTCTGGGCTGTAGACATCTCCTAATCTGTGGCCAGTAGCATTTTTTTTTTTTTTTCAGAAAACATGTCTTAAGAAGCCCCTTGAAATATTTTTAAGGAAAACAGAAAAAAGTCAAACAATTTAGAAAGAGAATGAAAATCAGGATAGGGCACAGATCTAGATAGTCATTTCAGTTCTTCTTTGCCCTTCCTACTTGTAAAGCTTTCAAAAAACGACTTAAAATGCCCCTGAGACGTGGTTTCCTCACATTTAACACAAGGATGGAACCGTCTCTCCTCTAGCCAGGAAGACTGTCAAGATGACATGAGGTGTTTTTGTCTTCTCAGAATGCTATAACAAAATATCACAGACTCACGTGTTTAAGGCTCAAAGTTTGAGATCGGGGTACCATTGATCAGATTCTGGTGAGGGTCCTTTTTTGGCAAGTGGGCCACTAAATTCTGTGTGAAAGAGTATGAACAAGATCTCTGGTGTCTCTTTGTATAGGGGCACTAATCCCATTGGACTAGGGCATTGTCCTCATGAACTCATCAAACTCTACCTTTCAAAGCCTCGCCTCTAAACACAAATCATTTCTGGGTTTTGACTCCCTATTTGATGTGAAAATTTATGGGGATACACATTCAGTCCACATAGAAGATAATATATGCAGGGTTTTAATAAACATCACTCTTGTTTTGTTTTAGCTGTTACGAATTATCCAAGAAGGACAAGGCATTCAGTTGAGAGAATGTCTTTGAAAGTTGACATATTAAAATCATAACTGACAGTTCATTGCATAAATTAGTATCTCCATTAGATCTTTTTGACAGGGGTCTAGAAAAATCCAGAAAATGTTGAGAATTCCATTACACCACCTTTAACTTAAAGACTTCAGTTAAAGTCCAGAAGTGTTTATGAGTAGATTCAATTCCTCAGGAGAGATATGTCATTAGTTCCAGAAGAATGGACAGTGTGCAGTGTACCACACTTTCCAAAATTTGGAACAAAGAGCATGGATTTTGGAAACTGACTTTTTTATTTGTCCATTTCTAATAGAATACTTTAAAGTTTTTTAAGCTTCCTGGATTTCTGTTAATCAATTTTTGTGACCTATGAAGTGTTTCTATGCATAATTAGGAAGATTAAATAAAAAGCACCTAGCATAGTGTCTGGCATATAAGAGACTCATTGGGCTACTGGTAGAAAATCTGGCTCTTTGCCTTGGCTTTGAGACCTTGAGCAAGTCATTAACCTCTCTGATTCTCAGCTGAAAAAACAAAATCTCTTTACTCTTAGCTGAGACTTGAGAGGTAGACTTGTTGTTTCAGGGGTTTTCTAGGTTACTCGGTTCCTGTTTCAAATTAAGTCAAGTTACTTAACTTCTTTATGGCTCAGCTTCCTCATCTATACAATAGGGACAACAGAGCTGTAGCTGAGACTCAGTGGGGTCCAAGAAAGAACTCATAGCAAGCTGTCTATTGTTGACTGTTACAGAGAAATGCGACTGCAGAATGGACTGAAGTCATTAAGGCTGACAGGTGATCAAGCCTGGATTTGTGCCTCGGTGCCTAAACACCAGCGTGTATCCTCTTGGCCTCTACACAACACTCATTCTGTACTATTTTGTATTATTTTAGCACGTGGAACCTGTTTACAAAGCCTGGCATATATAATGTCTTTTGTAATTTGGTGGCAGGAAAAGTTTCGAATCTTACCAGAAACTCATATGTTTCCTCTTTTTGAAAATAAAAATTATGCAACTTATCATGTGTTTTCGTTTGCCTTTCCTTTGCGGGGGGGGGGGGGCGGGCTTCCAGGAAGCTCAGAGCCAAACTGAGCATTCAATCACAGCCACCAAATGGCTTCCATCTTCCTGCATCTTTTTCCTTATTTTCTTTTTTAATTTCTTCTTTTTAACCAACATTTTCATTAGTGTTTCTTGTTGACAGAGGTCTCAGAGCTGGTTGGAAAGTTATGAAGTTGAAATAAGAATACAGAAGTTGAAATGTACAGGAAAAAAATACATTTTTGAGCCTTACTTGTTTCACTTGCTCAAAAATGGGTGGGAGGAAGTTTAAAATATGTAATTTTATGAGATATTTTAAAGGATTTAAAAGAAAACCAAACAGAAAAACAGACAGAACAACCAAGACCGACAGAGGCCAACTGAAATGGAAACTGCAATAAGTATGTCTGAGCCTGAAGCATCTGTGATCTCCCTGGCTGGAACCTATCATTTCTTAATTATATCCTGTGTGTGTTTTGCAAGATGTAAACTGCTGTCAAGGGAAGGACAGACTCAGATGGGAGGGGCCACAGCCCATCCCTGGATCTGACTTACCTGTACAGAAGCGAAGTCCCCCGAGGCACAGGCACCCAGAATGGCAGCACCCACAAGAACAGACTCCACCTCTTGTGACAGGACCACAGGCATGCCTGTGCAGGACAAGGCCACATTTCAGTTAGGGAGCAGGGCCAAAGCAGAGTGGGGGGTCATCAAGCAGCTCCAGTGGTGAAACACCTGACATCCAGGCAGTGTCCCACTCCCTGACCCTAATGGTAAACCTGTTCCTTGGGATCACCGCTTCTCAAGGTTTTCACTGCCTGTGCTGCTGGTGCAGCAGCCAAGAGCTCCACGGGAACCAGCACCATCTCTATATTATCGCATGAAACCTTGATGCCTGGGTCTCCCAGACTTCTGCTTGCTGCTACCTGCCATTGGATTCAAACTCAGTTCAACAAACGTTTATCATGTGCTTTACAGGGCCCTTAGAATACTGAGATCAATCAGACTGTGTCCTGCTGTTCTGGTCTCAGAAGGGAGATAGATGAAAACAGAAACACAGGCCATTAGGGGGCTTCTCAGCTGAGCAGCACCAAGAGCAAAGAAACAGCAAGAGTGGGATGTGGCTGTCCAGTGGCTTCCAACCTTTCACACAGGGCAAACTACAGCCCTTAGCAGGCGGACAAGGCCTCCCCAGGTCCTGCCTCCCTCCTCCTCCTGTCTTTTCCTCTTTCTCTTCTGCTGCACAGCTCTGGCCTCGCCACTGTCTCTTCAGTATGCTTCAGGGCCCTTCAGATGCCCACGTGAGAAGTACCTCTGTCCCTTGTTTGTGCAAAGACAGCCTTCCCACCAATGCTTTGCTGATCCTGGGATTTAAAGTGGCAACTTATCCTCACCACTTCTTACCTTAGCCCCATTTCCTCATTTTTTGACCTTGTATTTTACATACCATAGATTGTGCAGTGTCTCTTTCCTGTGCCAGAAGGTAAGCTCCATGAGGGTAGGGGCTTTGTTTTGTCACCAGTACCCAGCACGTGATGACTGACGATACGGTGAGGGAGTGAATCTGAGGTGACCATCACTGCGGATGTGAGGCTTACAGAGGTGCTGAGGTGTGAGTAGGGGCCTACGAGCTGGGGCTGGGTGAGGGATTGTGGAAAAGCTCAGACCTGTGTTTCCCTCCTGGGTCCACAAGCTCTCCAGCAAGTCCTTCGAACTCTTAGCCTCGATGGCCTCCTTGTCACAGGGGATAAGACCTACTACAGGTGATGGTGAGGATTAACAGCAAGCCTGTGGGTGGGGCTCAGCGCATTTCCTGGCCTAGATAAGCCATGCAGAAGTGGTGGCCACTGTTAGAATTAACATCATTGGTGCACGAAGCTCTACACAGAAGTCACCTGGGCTGGAGGGTGGAGAGGTGGGAAAGGAACAGAGCTCGTTCCTGTCAGCCATGCAGAGGGGAAGGGCCATGGTGACCCAATGAAGAGAGGACACTGCATGCCTTTCCAAAATCCCAGGAATGGTACGGATGAAAGAAGCCCCTCCAAATACTACTCTCCTCCCAGTCAAAAGCTTTTATGTATCTGGTGGGGAAAACCCCATTCCAGACCTCTTCCTTTGGAATAAGAGATCAGAGTGAGCTGAATGAATCTCCTGTTCTTTCCTGGGTTTCCGCCCTCAGTGATCTGGCACAGACTACTACGATGTGAATTTTGGCTTTCTTGTTGAATTAGCTATGTGATCGTAGGCTGGTTACCTGACCTATCTGTGCCTCGATTTTTTCAACTGTGAAAAATTTTACCCATTTTAGGGTTACTATGAGAATTAACAATTCTGTTAAAAGTCAGGCATTTAAAACAGTGCATGGCTTGGAGAATGCAGTAGATAAACACGGCTGTTAAGATTCTTGAATCTTACCTTCTCGGTGACATCTCTCACCCGTTTTGCCCCAGTGGGTGGAATTCCCCACCACTTCTCCCTGCCTCTCAACCAGTCCCACCCCTTCTCTGCCTCTCCCCACCTGCTCCGAGCTCCAGCTGCATCCTTTGCCGGCTGGCTACCTCTCTCACTAAGCTCCAGCTGGGTTCCCTCTTCACAGAACCCCAGGGCCCCTACCGCTCCAAGCTTAGGGGTGGCAACATGTTTTAACCCTAGGTGACTTCCTGGGTGCCTGAGTTTCCCTGCACCTTGAGCAAACTCCATAAATAGCCCCCTCATTCTACTTGTCTTTAGCTAACCTCTTGTGGGTGTGTCTTTTCCGTATCTGGGCCCGGTTGGACCCACACCTCTGTCCTCTGGGTTCCCACCCTACTCTCTGGTACCTGGTCTTTCCGTGAGAGGACCACAAATATGTTTTCTCTCTTAAAGAAAACTTTAGGCAAGGCATCACTCACTGTTCTTTGCATCCTCATGCCAAGCCAGTCCTTGATGGGCTGATGTGCAGAGTGAATAAATGAACAAACGATTAAAATAATGAGTAAGGCAGGAAGAGGGAAACCCGGACCGAAACTGCCAGTACTCAAAACAAAATTTAGCAGAAGGAACATTTAGTTCCAATTCACCAAAGGAAACCTACAATTACTTAGTCCATGCCGAGTGATTCTTGAAACCACAGTTGAGAGAAGCACCAGGGTACAAGGAGGTTCTTCCTCGCACGGATGACATTTCCCGAACTGGCAAAGCCCCATCTCCCTGCCTGTACAGAGCAGGCTGCTCCTAACACAGCAGAGAATTTGCTTCCAAAATATTAAACTGCTTTTTTTAAAAAAATTTAATTTATTGGTACATTCTAGGTAGACAGTACAGTTACATTCATTACTGGGATCTTGTACCTTTACATGCCAGGTCTTGGTTCTCATTTTATCCCCTTGTCCCCACCCTAAACTGCTTTTTTTCTTATTGTCCCTTCTTCGGTTGGGCTGGACTAAAGAAGTGAATGAACATTTACTTATCACCTACTGAGAAGCAGGCACAGAGTTTGATGAACAAACTCCTGTGCATTTACTGCTCAGCATAATCTGAAGAAGGGAGGTGATAACGTTTCTGTCTTCCAGAAGAGACAATTTAGGCTCAGAGAGGGAAAGGAACTTGCCTAGGTCACAGAGCTGCCCTCTTGCTCCTTCTTTGACTCCACACTGTCTCCAAAGAATCTTCCAAATCCTTTGTGATTTTTTTTTCATGTGTATTTCTGAGAATAACGTTCCATTCATATGGTCCTGTCTGAGTCTTCCTTGGCAGGAAAACTACAGCAGATACGGTGCTTAAAAGCATCAAAACACTACCTATCCACTGGCTCTGTGTACTGCTGCCTGTGCAGGTGCCTTTCACAGCGACATATCCAAATGTGCTCTTTCCTCTGGGAGCTGGGTGAAGGAGAGAAGAAGGAATGTGAACTATTTTATCTGCTGCGCTAATGAGTTTAGCAGAGCCCGAAGTATTTAAAGGCAGATGCACTTTGCCATCACTTGTCAGTCACAGGCTTCCAAAGGCAGAGGAATTTCAAGCCAAAGAAAAGGTCCCTTTGTCCAAAACTGTAACTGGGGCACAGTTAGAAACAAAGAGTCCAGTTTCCAGCTGAATCCAAACACTGATTAATGGGCTTTTCATCCAGCAGCTCAGAGGATAGCAGTTTCCAAAGCTGCTGAGTCCCTGCTTCTGAGTCAGCTCAGGGATATCGAGCTGGACCGGGACAAGTTTTCTTCAGGGCTGGAGCTTCGGTGCCAGGGTCACACACGTTGAGTCATGCCTGCCTTCCCTGCCTTTACAGGCCCTGGTTTGCCCATTCTTGTAGGCAATATGTCACCCACAAGTGACTTCTATTTCCCTCCTGCACCTAGGTTGGATGTTTTTGGCTGTTAGAAGGCTGAAATTGGAAAGCGACAGGCCAGATTTTAAGCGTGAACTTTATCTGAACCACCCAGCTGACTTTTAGCTAAAATATAGTCATAGTTTTTCTCCTGGGGGAAGTGATTAGATAATCTGATCCTGTGTCCCCTCTTTCTGCTCACTCTGGCCCATTCCATAGCTTTGGATTCCTTGGGAAAAGGGAGTCATCATCAAAAGAAGAAGCAAGAAATTTTGATTAAGAGAAAAGTATAGGGACATGGGCCCCGGCAGGGTTGGTAACAAGCCCAGTTGTGTCTTTTTCTCGCTGTCTGACTTTGGCAAGTCAATTTAATTCACATTCTTATCCTCAGTTAGTTTGTAAGATGGAAGAATCGGGTTTTTAATTTCAGTGGTGTAGGAGGATTAAACATGTACAGAATGATTCATGCTGACACATATTAGATGACTGGCTCATAGTAGTAACTGTTATGGTTCCTGTCCTGATAGATGCACCCTTATACTGTGTCCTTTCCTAAGCTGTCCTCTGACTTGCATCTCAGTATGTTTATCTCTAAGATGTGAATAATTTACCCTATTTATGACCTGGAGGGGGAGTCAAAGACTTTGACCCGCCCAGCTGTCAGAGTGAAGGAACCAGGGGCAGAGGACAGTGAGGGTCATAATGACTAGAGGCCGGCATCAGACGGATTTAGGTTCAACAGGAGTAGGGGCTGTGGGTAGACTCCAATCCTCCCCTACTTTCCTCCCCTGTTGTGTCCTGATCCCTGGCCCACTCCGGCATGGGTCCTGGGAGGAAGTAAGGAAACAACAGGGGAGAAGAAGCAAGAGGGGTGAGGGTGCCCATGCCAGCCTTTGTTCCCCAGCAGCTCTACCAAGGATGTTTCTCTGCCACTGCCTGTTCCTGTCATAAAGAGCTCGTCCTACTACTCTGGCCTCCCTCCTTCTGCGTCCTGATCCCTGATTGTGATGAGCAGAGAAGGAATCCCAGGACCTTGGTCTCTTGGTTCAAATTCCCAGTCTGCAGATAATTCCTGGTTCTCCCAGTATCTTGACCCTGCATTCTCACTTCAGGACAATATCCTAATCACTTCTTCTAGGCCCTAGGCCCTGTGCTTTCATGGGGGAGCTTCTATCGCCTTGTTCTCTCTCTCAGAGCTCTTGCCACACTGAAATGAGCGTGTCTGTTTGCTCTTTCCCTTCATCCTCAGTAGATCTTCCTCAGTTGGCCTCACCAGAGGCAAGAATCACATTCATTCATCTCTGTATCTCCACTATTCCCCACTATGCCTGGATCAGAAGAGGTACTCAGAACTGAGGACTAAATACTTAAGTTATGATCCAACCTTTGCCATTGTCTCTCATCCAGTACTTGGATATGGACGGAAGTCACTTCCCAGTGATGAACACGAAGACTTCCTAGGCATGTTTGTAGCTCGGCACACTGCCTAAGTCCTACTGTTCTCAGCCAGCCTAGAGGGTGGCTATGCCCATTCACTGCTCATCTCTCTTCCCAGGAGACTTACCAGTAATATCTGCATGCATCTGCACAAAAAGAGGATTCTTACTCAGGCCACCACACAAGAAAAGAGCACTGATAGAGTGCCCTGCTGCCTCCATGGCCTCTATGATGAAGCGGGTCCCAAACTGAAAAGGAAAAGCATGAGGAACCATTAGTATGGTAGCAAACATAAATGATGAGCATTGACCAAGTGTTTACATGGTTATGCACTACCTCAGAAAGCTGAACCTCAGAGAGATATGTTGTCTGTGATTACACAACTAATTAAACCTAAGCCTACTGAGTGGGGATTGCAGTCCAGACCTGCTGGACTCCAAAAGCCTCTTCACTACTCTGTTTACTTCTATCAGTAATTATACAACACTGACAAAAACAGTTGATGATTGTGCTTTTGTTTTTTTTTGGTACCAGGGATTGAGCTCAGGTCCTTGCGCTTGCGAGGCAGGCCACCAAACTGCTGAGCTAAATCCCCGGCCATTTTTTTTTTTTGTACTGGGGATCAAACTGCGGTCCTTGGGCTTGCAAGGTAGACAGTGGCACCACTGAGCTATATCCCAGGCTCAACAGATGATGATATTAACACGGTTAATATTAACATAGTTCTTTCACATATTTGGTGACAGTCTATTGCAACCTAGACCCACTGTTAGATAATGGATTGGAGTGACTGCAATATTGCTCTAAAATTACCAGCATTGATGGCATTTGGATCAATCTGGTTCATTAAGCAGAACTAAAGACTCTTTCCTTAGTAAAGGTACCAAATAATACAGCAACAGAAACAGAAAAGGGGCTCTAATTGCACAAAGAAAGTGAGATGCAAGTGTTCAGGCTGGCAAAAGGCTAAGCCTGCATTTGTCACAGGCTGAAGTGAGGTTTCTGGAGCCAGAATTCATCCCACTGGTGGCGAACCTCTGGCATGAATGCTGCAGAGCGCTGTCTGTATCACTGAAAGTACTGAAAGGTTCACCATCACCGCGTTAGCCCATCCTCATGACCTGGGATGATGTGGAAGGCATTTGCTCTGGCTGGCTCAGAGCATCTCCTATTGTGAGCTCAGTGCTTGTATTCCAGCCTTTCTGTCCTAGCTCCTTCTTGAAATGAGTTATCCTCATCCCTGTCTTGATGAATGTACCAAACTCAGTAAAAATAGTGACACTCTGAGAAGACATTTCCTCATGGTCACTGAGGTGAACTGTAATATAATCTTTAGTTTTGACCAAGCTATTCTGGAGATTGTAATTCAGTTGGAAACGCAAAAAGCCCTAAAAGTTCAAAATTCATAATTTCTTTGGGGGTAAGGATTAAGACAAGAGGAAACTGTGACCTGGCCTTAAGAAGGCAGCATAGTGATTTCTGAGGGGATGGCTGTGGAGAGCAATGAGGAGGAGGACTGGGGGTGGATAGAGAGTCCTTGAAATGTTTAGTGATGAGTAGTTCTGGGAGATGGACAAATCCTAGGTGTGGGCATGGGTGTGAAATGATGAGGTGGAGGGAGGAGAAAGTCAAGCGAGACAAAAGGTCAAGGATTTGAGGGACCAGGATCTCCACAGAAGACCCTCCTTGGTGTAGGCAGCAAGAAGTTGAGAGGTAGGCTGCAGAGGCATTATGAGCCAACATCATAGTTTTTAGGGAAAATATGACAGTGTTGTAGGAAAATTGGTCCTGAGTGAGTAGAAAAGTGGTAGAGATAGTTCAGCTAGGAAGCCAGCAGGATGGCAGCCTGATCTCAGGCCCCAAGGCCTAGGGCGTAGGGCAAGTGAAATCTCCTTGACAGGGCTAACTGGAGAGGCCAGGGTGTGCCTCTGAGGAAAGAGGTATCAGAGGGGGATCTGGAGCCATAGTGTATGGAATCTCAATGGTTTGGAGAAAATGATAAGGGATGGGGCTGTTCAGGAGCAAAAAGGACAGCAGTTACAGTCAAGAGGTCTTTAGGGTTTGTTGAAGCCATTCATGAATCTGGTAAAAATATCGACTAGGTGAAACTTGGGCCTCCAGTGAGAATCCACAGATGTATCGTGTTTAAAAAATTAAAACATGTTGTAAGGCCAGATCCTGCTTATTGACTATAGCTGATTACTCCCAGATGTTTTTCATGCGCCTTTTATAGGTCATGAACCCCACTGAAAATATGATAAAACCTACTGACCTACCCAGAAAAAAACAGATCTCACAGAAAATAGTTCTATGCATAACTTCATGAGGTCAACAGATGCCCTTAAATCCACCATGGATCATCTAATGCCCATGGATTCTAGGCAGTTCTGGTCTCCTTGGGTGGATCTGTAATAGCCAAAGGCATGAATTTTAGGTTAAAGGGGAAAAAAGAACCCTAAGGCAACATTCAGGCATTTCATCTGTCTCTTATGCCTCACCTCCCTAAGACTCAATTCTTATTTGTTAAATAATAACAATAATGCCATATTCTTTCAGCTGAAAACTCTATGGCTTGTCAAAAATGGTGACCTGAAAAAAAAAAGTGCAGTCCCTGACTTGATGAAACACAGTGATGCCTGACTTCCAAGCTTGCTGCTGTCGGCAGTGTATGTGAGAGACTATGGCTTGAAAAATGGTGACCTGAAAAAAAAAAGTGCAGTCCCTGACTTGATGAAACACAGTGATGCCTGACTTCCAAGCTTGCTGCTGTCGGCAGTGTATGTGAGAGCACATGGAAAGCACTTACCAAAGAGCTCTTCTGCTCATCAGCTAGGTGCTACAGATTCCACTGTGCACTTAATAATAATGTTAAGAAACTCAGACACTCCATATTGTTATCCCCACTTAGAAGCTAATAATTTGCAGGGAGGATAGCTGCCTTCCAATTTGCATGGGAATGGCACGCAAAACTGAAATTTTCTATACCTCAAAAACCAAGGACCTAGAGCTGCATGACTGGCAACCCTAAGAGGAGGGTAATGCAAAGCAGATTTCCTGGGAAAAGCAAAGACCTAAACCTCCAGGGGCCTTGACAGCTCATCTCACCCCAGAGCTGCACTGTGGCCAGCATTAGCTCCCTTCTGCAGTTTCTTACAGGGCTTCCCTTTTGGTGGCCCAGAGGCCACTCTGTGTAACCCTTCAACCCCTTGAAATGCTTCCACCAAAGGGCTTTGTGCGAAAATGATTTGGTGCTCACCTTTCTGGAAAAAATGTTTTCACCAAGATATTTAAATTAAAATTAGGCAATTCCACTGGGAATGTACAGAACCAAATGCAAATCATGAGATTTCAAGTGCAAATAGTACTTTTTGAAGGGTCTGTTCTGAAAGGAAAACTGCTGAACAGGCTGTGGATGAGATGGGGTTTGACAGGTTTCTCAGTGAAGCCTGAGCAAGGGAGAATTTTATTGCATGGAGGGTCTTGCAGTTCTGAAAATTAAGTTTTCTCTCCTTGATTTCATTCTGTTCCTACAAAACACTAGCCATAGATATTACCACAGAAAGGAAATTGTTTAACTTATAAATATCAAATAGGGGCTAGGACAATCTGAGGGCCCAGGAAAGAAACAAAATCAAACCATTGTTTTCCAAATCAAACAGGGTAATAGCTGTTATCAGGATGCTTTATTACAACACACATTCTTACCTAAAAGATCAGCATACTCACACAGTTTTTAAAGTGGCTGAACTCCTCCCAATTCAATAAACTCCACAATAAAGCATTATTGAGAAATCTTATTTAAAATGCCTTCCCTTTCATGTATTATAAACATCATTACAGCAATGGACAGAATAAATTTGATCACATTAAATATATGTATGGCCCATTAAATAGAAGACTGATTTTTCAAACTGTGGTACTCAGGTTAATACAGCTGGCTTTCCCCTATCCCACCTCCATTGTTTTAACTTACTTTACATTGGTGGGCTGTTCTTATCAGGAAAAAGCGAAAATCCCACGCCAAATTCAAATTCTGATATGTGTTAGTAAAAATTGTTCTTCAGAATATCCCAAGGCTTATTTCATCGAGGTAGATTTTACAAATAGATCCAAGAAAAATGCAGCATGGTAAAATGGAAAGAGCAGGTGCCTGAGAACAACATGGCAAAGGTTCAAATTCCAACTACCATGCACTTGCTGTGTGACCCTAGCACAGCCTTCTTCCCCTTGTCTGTAAAAGGAGGATGATACTTTTGATTTACAGCATTGCTGCCTTCAGTCACAGCACAGCTGTGGTGTTCTGGTGCCAGGCATAGGGTCGGAGTCATCTGGAAGTCCATGACCACTAGGTGATACCCCTTGGCACATCATGTTTGACCTTGACCTTCATGTCTACCTCAGCATTGTGCTCATGAGGTAAGCATCACTCAGCTGATTTTCTGGATTATCTGTTTCGATGCAAGTGATTCATTCTATGGTAAGACTTCTCATACAATCACATTAGTACACGAAGACAGATTGACTGGTCTGTTATCTACAAGGACTGTATAATCTGTTGACTGATTCTATACTCCTACACAGTGATATTAAAGAAGGTATATGTTCCTTTAGTGGTTGGTAAGTTCTGTATGGATAGATCTGAGTATTTAAAAAGCACTTCTATTGGTGATATTGGTAAATATCCATTTGGTTCTAACACTCAAAGTAATAAAGTTATGAAATAGTTGCCTTGAGAGGTAGAATAATTGAATAGACTTTATGTCTGTGTAGCATTAACAAAACCATTTGTTTAAGAAGTCATGTTACTAAATAAATTTTGAATCTAAATTTAGTAAATTGATTTTTTCTTTATGTTGGTTCTCATTCTCTTTCCAGAAACGACTAGACCATACTGGATTAACTTATTTTGCTGTACCTACCTGCTCTGAGACCCTAAAAGCCATGACTAACTCCACCAAAATGTACTTTCTAACAGGTATACACATACAAACTTTTTGGGATTTCAGGGTTTACAACCTTCTTATGCTCCACTCTTGGGTCACCTGTAGATAACAATATTTCTTAGACAATATTTGAGCATCTAGGATTTTTGTTTTCATTTTGGACCTTTAGTTTAAGAGCTCCTACTATTGTAGATTTAAATTCTCCTTAATCAGTAGGCTGTTCTTAATCAGCCTACTACCTGATTTAAACAGCTAATTATAAATTATTTCACAAAGTGAACAACATTATGTGTTTTATAAATTTGGTCATTCTATTTTTTTTTTTTTTTTTTAGTTTTTAGTTTTTTTGAGACAGGGTCTCATTGTGTAGTTGAGCCTGACCTGGAACTCACTATGCAGTCCAAGCTGGTCTTGAACTCACAGTGATCCTTCTGTCTCAACCTCCAGAGTGCTGGGATTACAGGCCTGCATCACCATACCTGGCCTAAATTTGGTTATTCCTAACACCAGTTTTTCTAATGCAAGCACACATGGCAACTCAACTTAGGAGGTAAGTTAGACAAATGAGAGATAGCTCAAAGAATTTAATTCCATTCAGCTTTCAGTCATGTGGGGTTATGAGTAAAGCAGAACTGTCAAATTTCCTTCCAGAAAACCACCATTTCTCTCTTTCAATTAAGGAACTGTCACAAAAGCTTGGGATACTTATGGCTTAGAGTAGTACAAGGGGTGATCTGAAGCTATGAAGAATGTTTAAACTAAAAAAAGTTACAGTGAAAATGTTACTTTGCCAACAATCCCCTTTAAAATAGCTCCCCCCACTTGGAACACACTCGTCCCAGCAGTCTTGCCACTTTCTGCAGCAGTTCTGGAAGTCCTTTTGGTGTCTTTAAAGAGGTAAGATTAAAAAACACAGTAAATTCTGGTGCTGAGTGTCATCCGATGGAAAGGATGGCCCATAAAGACGTTACGAGGCATCTTCATCGACCTTATTCACTGGGTGTGGCACCATGTGACTTCTGGCTCTCCTCCAAAGTCAAAAGGACCATGGCAGGTAAACATTTTGAATCAACCCATGACACCGAGGCACTTATGAGAATACCACTAAAGACATGAAAGAAGACTTCCAGAACTACTGCAGAAAAAGGCCAGAATAATGGGATAGGTGTGTGCAAACTGAGGGGGATTGCTTTGATGGGGAGTGATGGTAACGTGCCTTTCACTGTAATAAGTGTTTTAAAATTTGAATCACACATCATATTTTAAAATCACACTTCATACACTGCTAGCCCCAGATTCTTTATTAAAAATGGCATTAAAGTATCTTACAGCAATGGCTTGCACTGTGGCCAGGTAGAGGATGGCAAGATCATCAAGGTCCTGAGACAATGTCAATCCTGTGATCTGAAGGGAGAAGGAAAAGAAAAGTAGATGGCTGAAGGAGCTGACATGGCTAGATATAGTTCCCATGAACTCTGAATGTGATGTTTTCTTGCTGAAACAATTTCACATGCAAATCCCCTTTTTGTAAGATGAACGTGGAATGCCTACTAAATCATTTATTCTCTAGACCTGGGAAAAAATACCCCTTACTCCCCCCATTCCTCCAAATGCCTTGCCCTTAGAATAAACCAAAGCAAAACAAACACTATGGGATGATTGTGTTTGATGCTTCTTAGCATGAGATTAAATGGCTTTTTCTTTTTCTTAGAAATATCTAATTTCTGTGGCTTAAAAGAAATGAATCTGTGAACAGTGGCATTGTACTACCTTCTCTTGGCTCAGTTCTGTTTCTGTTAGAATTCAGTAAGTGCTCAAGGGGTATTCAGGGTAAAATAAGCTGTCTCCTATAAATGTCATACCAACTGGGAGATAATTTAGAATTTGTGTTCTGAAAGGGAATCCCATTAAAGTCAGTCAGAACCATATGCCTATATGGAGAAGGTCAATCTCCGAGAATGCCAGTAGGCTGAACAGGAAGCTGGATTTGGATGTCAGGAAGAGTTGCCCACAATCCCACCTTCATAACTCTTATTCATCAAGATGTTCTCATGGGACATATCCGGAGGGTAAAGGCTGATGGCTTCTTCAAGCCTAGCCTGAAGTTTATGGGCATTAATACAGTGGAACCTTGGCTCACAAATTTAATTCCTTTCATGGTTCTGGAGAAGATGGCCACATTCATGTTCACATGGAATGATGGCCGTGGTTGTGTTCATCATCTGATGCAGAGTTCTCAAGCAAAAGCAAATTTTGCCAACTGTTTCTTTTGAGAAGAAAATTGTTCACAAAACAAAAGCATTTATGATCTAAGGTACCACTGTACTACAGTTCAGTTTAGGTTTTCATATTATAAAATTAATTCATACAACATGCGTTTACCCAAGTTATATGGTATAGTAGTCTTGAGCTCAAGTATGTTTGATTATGAAGCTTGCAAAAAGTAGCAGAGGCAAGTGGTCTACCTGGGTCCTGGTCCTTCTTCTGTACCCCTACTTAATATAGTATATCCCCATGAAGTCACAGTTCAGTTTGCAGCCTCAGTCAATGGGCGATTTTTTTCTTAGAACCTAATAAATAATTGTTTGTGGAAACCCTCACAATTTAGTGGGAACTGCAAATATCCTCTGTAAATTTTTTTTGGGGGGGAGACCTGGGAAAAAATACCCCTTACTTCCGCTATTCTCCCAAATGTTAGTAGCTAATTGCAAATAGCTAATCCTAGAGCAATATTCAGTTCTCCTTGCTGCTGACTGGCCACTGCCCTGTAATCCCTTATGGGGAGCCAATGTGAGATGTGTCAAACCCCAGGGTGTGAGGACATCAGAGAGTACCTGAGGCCACAATTTTGTCGTTCAGCACACGAGTATGATGGGGCTTCATTATATAATAATGAATCAGCATAGGCAACCACACATGCACCACATGGCCTGCAAAGTTGCTTAGAATGTTTTGTCTTACTATGTCTCAGTACGCTGATAAAAAAAAAACTACTATATGTTCTTTGTTGGAAAATAAAGCTAGGTTCCTGCTTTGTAATGTCTGTTCTTTTCTTTGGGAACTAGCCTGACCAGGGATCCCTTTGGCCCACTGGCCCCAATACCCTTCTGGTAGACGTGCCAATGTTCCCACATCATAACAGGTTACTGTACCATGTGTAGCTATCTTGGGCGTTCTTGTTTTTGTTCTTAAAGCCCTAAGATCCCCAGGATGCTACCAAATTTTCTGCACCTTCTGAGGATTTATTAATATAGTGTTTTATTACATTAAATTACATAACTGTGGGAGACATAGCATATGTAGGGTTAAAACTATAAAAATAGTCATTTATAGGCATTTTTCTGACCATATTTGAAATTTTTAGTTTTTCACAATTCATGGGTGCTCTAGGACCGTAACTCCCTTGAATTTTGGGGTCCACTTTACTCTCTCTAGATTCTGCCCCCAACCAGGATTGGTTTATTTTTCCACCCGCAATACCAGGGATTGAACTCAGGACTTTGCGCTTGCCAGGCAAGAACTGGTCTATTATTTCAAGGTACAGTCACCATTCGATTGACCAAACTAGACTCCCTCCCTACAATTTTTTGAATCCATCTCCTTTACTGGGTTCTTACTGTCCTCCACTTCCTCAGTTCAGGGCACCATATGTCCTTCCCTATTGCTGATACAGCCCAGAGCAAATCCACATTTCTAATCATGCTCTGTTTCACAATGGAGCCAGAGTGACCGTTCTCATGTGCAAATCTGAGCATGTTGATCCCTGTTGCTTTACTTTGAAGGAGAAATGCCTTTTCTGTGTATGTACACTCTCCTGGCTCATCGCTGCTCACTTCTCTAGCACCTATTCTTGCCCTTCCTCACTTGTATCTTGTGCTCCCACTATTCTGAGTTATTCATTTCACTGTACCAAGAGGAAGGAACTCCTGCCTGAAACAGAGCTACTGGTAGATGGCTTACTCTTGGCAAATATTTGGGAAACCTGATGAAAACTATGGCTTTGATTTCAACACACAGGAAGATGGAAAGTTTGAAGAACAGACCACAGAGGAATTCTAGGGCTCAGCCTTCTCAAGTCAATGTTGTGAAAAAATATCTTTCATAAAATTCTGTGATGGCTTGTGTTTAGATGTCCCCCCAAAGCCTCAGGTGTTCTTAGGTGGGACCTTTTTCAAAGGTGGCTGAATCTAGAGTGTGTGATTGATTCAAGGTGCAATGCTAGGCCCAAGGGCACTAGGATTAAGGGGGTGAGTGCTACCTACCCTAAGTAGTCTGGATAAGACAAAAGGGGCAGAAAGACACCGTTAAGATGCCTTGTTGCTTTTGCTACCCACTGTACACCACGAACTGTTTTCTCCTTTGCAAGATCTGTCAGTCATACCAACTTACCTTGGAGCTAGTCAATTATGGACTGAAACCTCTACAAACTGTGAGCCAAATAAACCTTTCCCCCTTTAACTTTGGGTGTCAGGTATTCTGTCACAGCAAAGAGAGAAAAGCAACTAAGACAAATCCCCTCAGGATCTAAACATACAGTAGGAATGCTGGAACTAGGCGTGAACATGATAACAATGATAGTATAGAACTTCATTTTACAGGTTAGGCTCTAAATTGACCAAAGGTGGCTGGGGATTTAGTTCAGTGGGGATTTACCAGACAAACACAAGGTCCTGAGTTTGATTCCTGGTACTGAAAAAACATTTCCCAAAGATCACAGAGAAGAGAAAACAGAACCAAGGTATTCTGACAGACTTTGCTTATCTTATTCATCACAGTATCCTCAGTGCCTAGTGCTGTGTTTGCTACACAGTAAATATTAAGTTAACATTTGTCAAATGTTTGACAATTCAAGTTCCTTTTTTGCTACGGAATACTTTTTCTTCTATATTCTATCCTTTTTCTATCAATTTATGCAACTATAATTGAACAACATTAATTCCTTGGCTCATCAAATACAGAGGGAAGACATTTGCTCCATGCCCCAGAGAAGCATGACTTCTTCTTGGTGACTGGAGTACCTGGGCCTGACCACTTGCTGCCACAACCCCCATACCATCACACCTATGCATCTTTATCACAGGAGTGACTCAGATGAGAGTAGGATAAAAAAGCAGGTTCCCTGCAGCTCTGGTGGAGCCTTGTATGAGCAAAAGGCATCCATCTCAGGGAATAAATTAAAAAGCTTGATAGGAGGGAGAGTTCAGCCACATCAGCTGGACACCCTGTGGTAGGCTATGTTTCTGGCTTAAAATCACTGGTTAGGAAACTACATGGTCTTGTGCATGTTTTTCTGTTGGTCTATTATGGAAGCCAAGTGGCCATGGCTTAGATCTCTTTTCCAGGTGAAGAGGTTGCCTCCCTCTGGCCTCTTCTCTCTGGCAGCAGTGGGAAGTGATCCTCTGTGTCTGATCCAGAGGTGAATCTTGAAGACCAGATCTGGATAATTTGTGATGGGAGTGGGGAAGTCTCATTTTATATTGCAGAACATTTCCCAATCAATATTTATTACAAAATCTAGTGCTTTGTATAATAATATAATTAATGTAACTGGTTCTGTATCCTTCAAATGGATAAGAACCCATAAAGAGAGAGGGGTGTGATACTTGAATTTAACACTCTCAGTCCTCTGCAGATATCCATGAGAATATTCAAAAAAACATTAATATTAAAGGAAAGAGATACTTTCCTTTCTCTAGATTTCCATCATTCCAAGATATCAGAGACATCATGGAGACACTTTCTTCCAGAAAGTGAGAATGAAGTAATCAATATAATTGAGCCCTAAATTAACTCTTGAACTTGCTAGCAGATATGGTAAAAAGGGACACACAAAGGGTGAACTCTGATTTTCTTTTTCTAAATACAGTTATAACTCAAGGAGTCAAAGTTATTCCTAGTAAAAAGTTCAGAAGAGGCATGATATGTGGGAGCTGTGAAGTATCAAAAGAGAAGTGAGCACAGCCATTTCCTATATTCGCTTACTACCAGCACTAGAGCCACATTTGTGAAATGTGGGTTAGTGAAGAATTTCCTCTCTGAAGTACAAAGATGCCATGACCTGGGATCCTGTTTCCTTGACATCTCACCTGATATGCAAATGGAGACCAAGAAGGTCAGAGAAGTATTAAAGCCTATTTGGTTCCCTCTCAGATACCAAGGACTTGATGTTAAAGTCAGCCCAGACGGAACTTCCCAAGGAATGCCTGCCATCTGCACTGATTGGGAGATTGCAGAGGCCTCAGGAGGTGCTGTCCTACAGGAAGGTGGCTATAGTACCCTAGGAGTCCTGGGAATGCACAGGGGAGGTGGGGCTTTGCGATGGCTGTGCATGGCGTCATCAAGGAGTGGAAGCAGGGAAGAAACAAGTGGAAGAAGTATTTATAAATATGCACATGGCTACTTTG